GGGGCCGGGGCCGGGGCCGGGGCGCAGGGCGGCCGAGGGCGGGGCGGGAGGGCCGCTACCGGCCGGGTGGAGCGAGGCCCGGCCTCAGCCGCCGCCTTGGCCCCAGGCATCGAGGAGCTGTGCCAGAAGCGCGAGGAGCTGTGCCGGCAGATCCAGCAGGAGGAGGACGAGAAGCAGCGGCTGCAGAACGAGGTGAGGCAGCTGACGGAGAAGCTGGCCCGCGTCAACGAGAACCTGGCGCGCAAGATCGCCTCCCGCAACGAGTTCGACCGCACCATCGCGGAGACCGAGGCCGCCTACCTCAAGGTGGGGCTCCCCCGGGCCAGGGCAGGCAGTGTGGCCGGCCGTGGGGGTGGCAGGGCCCGGGCCCCGTGATCTGGGCAGGGCGGGAAGAGCGAGTTTGATTTGAAGGCCCAGGAAGGAAAGAGGGCCCTGTCACCCTCAGCACCCTTATGGGAGGTCCTTGTCCCCGAGTGTGACAGCGATGCTGACACCCCATCCCCGCCCAGATCCTGGAGAGCTCACAGACTCTGCTGAGTGTCCTGAAAAGGGAAGCTGGGAACCTGACCAAGGCCACGGCCCCTGACCAGAAGAGCAGTGGTGCCAAGGACAGCTGACGCGGTGCCTGCCTCTGCGCTGCTTGCGGGGCTCGGCCCAGCCATGTCCTTGAAATGGGTGGCAGCGGGCTTCACTCTCAGTGCTGAGTGGGACCATTGGTAGCTTCCGCCATCCATGGGTGACAGAGCCTGGGGCTGGCCCCATCCCGCCCTGGGCTGTGGGGGTAGTGGGCGCCCAGGCAGCTCTACAGGGGACCTCTCTCTGAGGCCCCCACGATCCCCGGGCTGCTGGTCCCAGTGTGTGTCTCAGCACCGTGGGAGTGCCTCAGGCAGGTGGGGGCGGGGCTGGGCCCTCTTTTTACCCCAGAACCTAGATCTCAGGCCTGGGCTCAGTGGCCTGTGACCCTGTCAATAAAGGTTGCCTTCGTAAAGGTTTACACCAGTCTGCTGTGTCGGCTGAGTGTAGCTGCTGCAGACCACCGAGCCAAGCTAAGCCCCTTTAGCCCAGGAGGGTCTTTGCAGGGATATCTGGAGTGGCCTTCCTTGTGGCCGCCCCACTAGGCTCAGGGACACAGAGTGGAGGGTGCCCACCTGGCCCTTAGCTTTCCCAGCAGGGCTGCTGGGCCTCTCCCCCAGCGGCACACAGCCTATTCCGTCACATGCAGTGTCCAGCAGACGGTGACGTCGGGGTGTGTGCGGCCTGGCGGCCCTATGCCCATGCTATTTTCAGTTCCAAGTGCTGCTCAAGGCCTGTGTCTGTCCTCACCACCCACACGTCAGGCTTTGCCTACTCTGTCCTGATGCACTTGGGGACCTGGCTCTCTGTCTCCATCAGTCAGTCTCCGTGGGGTCCCTGCAGCAATCAGGGTCCAGCTGCTGCCTGGGGGCTGGGCTGTTTGGTCAGAGGGTTGAGAGAGCTGACCTCACCTCCAGGGAAACCCCTCCTACAGTGCCCTGCCTTCTTCCACTGTGCCAGGAAGTAGGCCACTGGCGGAGTCTGGACCGCCAGTACCTGGAGTGTGGTGCCAGGTCAGGGCTGCCTCCCCTCAGCAGATGCCCAGTGTGTTCCCCCAGACGGCTGAGGCGGCCTTTCCACTGTTTATTGACTCCGTCAGAGACGAGAACTACTGCCTTCATGAAGGGGGGCCTGAGCTCCACCATGGGGGCACAGACAGGACTGGGGTGGAGGGGCTGAGCTTCACCATGGGGGGATACAGACGGGTGGGGGGGGTTCTGAGATCCTGCGGAGAACAGGCAGCCCTTCCTGGACACGATGGCACAGCAGACACAGCAAGGCGAGCTTGGCAAGTGACAGGACAGCCTCAGGGCAGAGTCTGCTCCTCCACCTGGTCCCGGAGAGGCCACCATCCAGTAGGACATTGGCCACAGGCCACCTCCACTCTTCCTTGGAAACCCCAAATGGGCCAGCACAGGAAGGAGCAGGGAGGGAAGGGCAGGGCGGTAGGGGCATGAGGTAGGGTCGCGGTTGGGGCGCCGAGGGCGTGGCCCTGCCTCAGCGTCCGGGCAGCTCTGGGCTCAGAAGTGGAGGGCTGGCTCGCTGCAGAAGTCTGAGTGGTCGTTCCGACTGGCAGGCGTGAGCTAAGGAGACATAGCGTGCATACTGGCTCGTCCAGCTAGAAGGGCCCCTTCCCTGCCAGACCAGCTCCTGCTGCGGTGGGCATCCGCCCTCCCTGTCCCACTCACCATGACCTCCTGGGGTGGAGACTCCGCCTCACTCTGGGCCTGCTCCAGTGTCTGCTCTTGCCACTTGCTGAAGGCCATGGTGTGCTTTGGAGTGTAGCTGGACAAGCCTGCAGGCCAAGGAGCACGTCCATGGACACACAGACACATGGACAGTGGCCCAAGCTCTGCCCTCCCAACAGGTGGGCCCTCACCTGAACTGCCACCTGGCAGCCGAGGGCTCTCAGATCCCACACTTCCCACAAAGGTGGCCCGGGGCAGGAAGAGTGCAAAGGGCTTCTCTGAGCCCAGCTCCGACTCCTCTTCTTCCTCCGTCTCCTCTTCTGTCTCCTCTGTCGCCTTTGCCTCTTCCTCCTGCACCAGGGAGCTCTCGGAAGGGTACTCAAACGTGGTCTGCAGGCTCTTGTCATTGAAGGAAATCTTCATCTGGGGTGAGACACATCAGGGCTCAGGCCTGCAGTGGGGCCGCTCAGCCGTCAGGCCCTGTGGGGGCTCCAAGAGGTGGGGGAGGAGACCTCTCCCCTGGACCTGCAGGCCCCAGCCTCCCCAGCTCGGGACCAACACTCCTCCTGACCTCGGGTCTGGGTGACGTAGCCCCCAACCATCTCGACTGAGGGCTGTGCACGTGGGAGCGCCTGCTCTGCCCTGGGTGGACTGTCCTGCCAGCATTAATCGCTGCTGCTGGCCGGGGCCTGGCACCAAGCCCTCCTGAGACACCACTGCCTGCTTCATAGATGACTCACGAGTCAGCCCCCGGCTGTGCAGAGTGGGGGGGCTCCTGCGACCCCACCAGTGACTTGCCATGTCCCTGCCTACCCTGCAGGCCGCGGAATCCCACCTCCAAGGCAGTGCTCCCAGAGGCCTCAGCCCAGACCAGGCCACTGGTTCTGAGGGGCAGCAAGGGCTGGGACAGTGGTGTGCACCCCACCCCCCGCCAGGCTTAGGCAGAACTGCCCTGAGACCAGGCCCTCCCCCGGGCAAGGGCACTGAGCACATGGGCCCAGATCCACAGCCTGCTTGGTGCGTGGCCTGGCCCAGCGGGTGGGTAATGAGCACGGGCGGACACCTGCCTACAGCAGATGGGGCAGCCCACGGCCTGGTGCGCGAAACACTAAACTCTTCCTGGGCACAGACACCGGCAGCCGGCTCGGGTTCCTCCTCCTAGGAAGCAGAGGCAGGAGCTGGGGCAGCAGGGCGGGCCCAGGCAGAGGGGCTGCGGCAGAGGCCTCAGGCCGCAGGAACAGAGGTGCTGAGCTGGGCAGTGCCCAGAACCAGGCGCAGGGCTGCCCTCCCATCACAGCCCCTGTGCCCTGCTCAGATGCAGTCAGGGAGGTGAGTGGGCGGCCCGGGGCTGGCCAGACAAGGAGCGTGGTCCTGTCCCTTTCCTGTGCCCTACTGGGCAGCCCGCCCAGCCCTTGAGGGAGCCAGGCCGGGTGGGGCCCACAGGCACCCCAAAGACTAGCCCATGGGATAGCCACCCCAGGAGGTGCTGAGGAAGAACGGGCCGCAGGCCAGGAGCCGGCCCCTGCCCAGGCCCCCGAGACTCAGCTGACGACCACCGCAAACTCGGGGAGGGCCTGCCGGTCAGCTGCCCTCCACAGTCCCGTGACCAGCACCAGCGGGTGACTGAGGGGGGCAGGGCGCAGGCAACACGGAGCCTGGCACAGCCTGGCCAGGCAGGGGTGGTGCTCGCAGCCTGCTGCCCTGGCTCGGCCTGCCCCCACTGCAGGGCAGGTCAGTGGGCCATGGCACAACCCAGGCCTCCCGCTCTGAGGCAGGGCAGCTTCCCGGCCCAGCACCCAGTGCTGGTGGAGGACCTGGCCAGGGTTGGACTTTGGACACCTGGTCGCCTGCCTCTCTGGGACTTTGCCCTTCCCGAGCAGCAGCGTCAGGTGGGTCCTGCTGGGCAGAGCCTCCCAGCAGACGCCAGCACTCACAGGGCCCCTTTGCTCCACCTTGACGGCCCGGCTTGGGTTACCAGAGGGCGTTTACCCCAGACTGAGGCCCAGCGCTGAACACAATCTGCCCAGCCTGGCCCTCGCTCCCTGCCCAGCCTGGCCTTCGCTCCCTCCCCACCCAGCCCCGGCTCAGGGGCAGCCCCAGCTCGGCTCCCACAGGAGGCCAGACACTAGACTGTCAGTGGGCACCCCACACCCGCAGCCTGGCCACAGCGACCCCCAGCCCAGAGCTGCTGCCCTGGGGATCTGAGGAGACACCAGTGGGTGGCCACGGCAGGGGCAGTGGGAGGCAGGAAGGGAGGGAGCCCAGAGGGGACAGACGCTGGCACCTTGAGGGCGAGCCTGTGCAGGAGGGCGGGGGCACACGCAGACCGGGGCACAACAGCTCCCGGAAGCAGCTCTCCAGGAAGAGCAGATGGCAGCTGGACACCCTGGGGTATAAAGATCAGGGCGAGACTACGGAATTGGGGTGGAGGTCACGCTGCAGGAGAGACTGGCAGGCCCCAGGTGTCGGGGACAGCCCTGGGACATGCACAGGCTGGATGGAGGGCCAGGTGACGAGGGCAAAGGAGAGGGGGAGGCGCAGCCAGAGCCAGCCAGGAGCCAGGCCAGGTGGCTTCACATAGGAGCCGCCCACAGCACCCAGTCCCCTGGGGAAGCAGGTGTGATGAGGGAAGAGACCCCTGGGGAAGCAGAAGGGCGCAGCTGGGACATGGGAGCCGGAGGACGAAGGCTCCTGTGGGTTCTGCCAACGAACACCTTCACTGAGGACCAAGCCCGGTACCCGAGCAGGGCTGTAGCCCTCCCAGGCCAGGCATGGGCACGATAACCCAACAGCCACCAGCCCAGGGGCACACTTCCCACGTTGCCCCTCCGAGGAGCTGCCCCTCACTTGCACCCCAGGAAGGGCACCGCCCCTCCTGCCACTGCCCAAGGCACCTAGCCACGGGGGTAAGATGGACAGCAGTCCCAAGGTCCTGCCAGCCTCGGGCCCTAGATGCCAGCCCACCCACACCCCCTAGGGAGAAGCAGGAGTGGGTCAGTGGGGAGGCTGCCTGCAGTGGTTGCAGGGCACACAAGGGGACTGCGGGCGGGCATAGCGGGGAGGCCTGCGCTGCAGGTGCACCTGCTCAAGGCTGGCAGACCACTTCGCAAAACAGGCAGCTCCATGCCCCATCACCTCCCAACATTGCAGCCCTTCCCAGGCAGGGCAGCTGCAGTGCATCCAGGCGGGAAGTCGTGGCCGGCAGGTCATGCTGCTCTAGCAGGACCCTGCCCAGGCCACTCGACCATGCCAGCATCATCCATCTGGACCCCCAGCCCTTCCGGCTGGCACACAGACAAGCCAGACTGGCCTGAGCCCCTCCCCACTGTGGCCCGGGGCCTGCTTCCTCCTGCCCCTGCTGGCTGTCACCCTTTCCCCCCACCACTCCCTAGCCCTGAGTGACTCCCAGATCTGTCCCTGGCTGTGGGAAGCTAGGCCAGGCCCTAGGCAGCAGCCCTCCCGGCCCAGGGAGAGGCCAGGTTTTGGGGCGGGAGCATAGGCGGTGAGGGCAGGGGTCCTAGAACAGGAGCAGAATGCTCTCAACTCCACAGGCTCCAGCTCAACTTGCAGCCACAGGCCCTGTTGCTGCAGGGAGCCAGTACCGCTTCCCCTCCCTGGGCACGTGTGGGAGGCAGCCCAGACCACTGGGTCAGTCATGGGGCAGGAAAGGGAAAGGCAGGCCAGCGGGGTGGAGGCCATGGCTACTAGACTGACCTCAGCTCTCAGAGGGCTCAGGACAGAGTGGATAGAAGGTGGGGCAGGCTGGGCCCACGTGACACAGAGGGGCTATCGCCTGGGTGCATCCAGCACCAGGACAAACTGGGGAGGTCAGTGTGGGTGCCTGATGGGGCGGATGGAGCCCACAGGCACCCATCCTTGTCCATGGAGAAGAATGGCTCCAGGAGGGGCAGCGCCCAAGCAACCAAGGCATGGGGGAAAGAGAGGGGCATTGTGTCTGGCTAGAAGGTGCTGGCGATGCATCACCACCGGCCTATGACTCCAAGGAGACTGGGGCTGGGAGGAGAGGTGGCCTCAGGGTGAGCCTGGACACTGGCTGGGCTCTGGGCAGTGCCGGACCGGAGTGGTCAGAGATGTCCGCGAGTGCTGCCCAGTACCAAGGGAAGCAGTGCCGCCTTGCACGCACACAGGGCTGCCTTAGCATCTGCTCCAGGGCCACACAGAGGCGCTGGAATGACCAGGAAGGACCTGAGAGAACTTGCTTGTGCCCAGAAGGTTCCAGGCCAGAGCAGGCAGGCTCTGAGTTCTGGGAGGTCTGCACGGGGTTTCTGCCCAAAGCCCCTCCTTCCCACAAGGCTCACAGCATCAAACCCAGGGCTCAGACAAGGCCTGGCACCGCACCAGGCGCTCAGTCGAGGTGTGCGCAAGACCAGGGCCTGCTCGGCTCGGGCCAGAGTGCCTTCTAGGAGCTGGGGCTGCGCCGCCAGCCCGACCTTGAGGTGGGTCTCACCACACCAACACTGCCCCATCTCCCACCACCTGCCCCTCCCACTCACATCTGTGTGGCCTAGCAGGAGACCCCACGGGACCCCGATCCCAAAGCCAGGGCCAGAGACAGGCCTGTTTCTCGCAGCTGGACGAACAGGCATGCAGAGGCAGCTCCAGGTGGAGGTGCGTGAGCTGGCGGGCCCTGCCCCTGCCTCGCAGATACAGACCAGGCCACCTGTCCCCAGGGCCCCTGACAGACCCCAACCCCAGCTCTGCAGTCCACACAGAAGCCACTCCCTGGCCAGCCAGTGTCCAGGGACAGGGCAAATGCCAAGTGTACACTGCAGCCCGCCTCCCCCCAGCCGGCGGCCTCACCCTCGCTGACCTTCTTTCTCGAGGAACTGGCCTTGGTGAGGCAGGACTTCCGCAGGGCCAGGTAGCCGCCGATCACCTCGATCTCGTGCACGGTGGGGTAGCGCTTCTTCGGGGCCGTCACCAGGGTGGCACAGGGCCCCTCTTCTTCGGTCACCTGTGGCTGGGGCTCCCCGTTGGCCTGCCCCGAGTACTGCTCCTGCAGGACACCCAGCTTCCTTCTGGGCACCACTGTGAAGGTGTTGCTGCCCTGCTGCTGGAGCCCTGCGGCATGCCCAGGCCCAGCAGGCTGCCGACAGTACCGAGGAGGCGTGTGGATCCCTGAGTCAGGCAGTTTGGCTTCCTGGGAAACCTGCTCCTCTGAGGCCACCTCGTCGATGAAGGTGATAGGCAGCCCTGGCCTCGCAAGTTCCGGACCATTCCGGACCAAGCTGGGAGCCCCGCTGCCCTGAGCAGGCTCAGCTGCTGCAGCCAGCATGCAGGCAGGTGGTGAGGCCGGCCTCTGCCACCCCACAGCCGGGTCTGCAAGGGCAGGGCTGGGCCTGGGGCAGTCCCTCTCCTCAGCTGCCCACTGCACCTCCACCAAGGGACTTCTCCCCAGGGCAGGCAGGCCATCTGCTTCGGGCACCAGCTGGCCTCCCTGCTTGGGGCTCTGGAAGGCCTGGCCCACCTCTCCTTCCTGCAGCTGCACGGACTGCCTCCCCTGGGGAGGAGGGCTGCCAGAGACCTTGCGCTTGGGGATGAACACGAACGAGTTTCGAGAGTGCGCACGGAGGCTGGCCAGGGCCCTGGCCTGAAGGTCCCCCGGCGGGATGGTCTCCACGTCTGGCTTGGGGGCCGGCCGTATCTCGAAGGAGTCATTGGCGCTCGTGGCTGCGGAGACCCACCGACGCTGGCTGGGAGTGGCACTGGAAGGGCTGAGCGTGGAGAAGGCAGAAGACGCGGTAGGAATGGCACTCGGGGCCCCGGGACTAGGGGGAGAGTGGAGTGAGGTCTCCCCCGACTCCACCTTTGGCTTCCATTCGCCCAGTCCATTCGGTGAGCCCGCGAGGCC